TAGCTTCACATATGTTGGAATGTTAAGTGTGCCAATGTTTCATCGAGCCTTAGTTTGAAAGATTCAATGCTTGGTCCACACAGAGGACGTGGGGTGGGACAGAGTTCCAGATCGAACTCACACTCTGACTACGAATGACTGACACCGGCATTCTAATCGGCATTTTGAGATCACTTGTTTGAACGGATGTCCTCTAAGATGAACGTGGGTTGATAATTTTAGCAGCGGACGACACGGATGGCTTGGGTTTTGCTTTGTTTGGTATACCATAATCATGTCTTCTCTGATGCACCGGTGCTCATTGGAATATAACCCCAGCTACTTCAGTCGATCTGCATATGAATAACGATTTAACCCCTTAACCATTTTGGTGGCTATCTTTTGTGGACGTTTCAGCATTCTGCAATCACGTTGTAGCCGTGGATTCCATGTCTGGATAGCGTGCTCTGTGAGTGAGTGAATGTACCTAATGAATGAACCTAAGACTTCAACAAGGAGGGCGTAATGGCTAAGCGCTCATCTTGGCGTACGATTTGAACCGAGAAAAGCATACAGTCATTCCTCGGGCATACTGGAGTTTACGCAACGATTACTCCGCAGTCTGATTGGACTATCCATCACTGTGTCTTATTAGTTTTGTTTTAGAAAGTCAACTGAAAGTTATCTGAGCACTGTTCATCAAAATCTAGCTATTCTGATTGCATCTGGATGTACTTCGGGAATTATTAAAAAGCACATAGGAATGAAAAAACAGAGAAGTACTCTACAGCTGTTTCAAACCATACGCCTCCGAAAACCCGAGTGTGTTTGGGAGTGGGTGCCTTGAGTTGTGACTCGTCATCCTGACATTGCACCATGCAAAATTCTCCTACATATATGACGAAGCAGCCTAATCAGTCTCTGTTGATGAAACCCTGTTCACTGCCTTCCCTTGATGGAAGTATTGTCCCACCAGAATGAGAGGACGAAAAGCCAACATCCCGGGCTATAATCGGATTGGTGGTAGGTAGTTCATTCAGAGGAGTTGGTTAAAACTCCTGATTCCAAACCAAACAATACGTGTAAGAACCACACACAACTTCCCGGATGTGGCAATGGTCACCGGCTCGAGTGGGCTTCGTGATATATTGAGCACGTTAAACGTTTTAACCCCGTCCAAAATGCGCATGATATGATGAACTATAGTAGGGGGCTTTCATTGGATCAGTTTCAGTTTCAGTTTGTACAACCATTAATCATGCACTATCGTGCACCGGTTTTGGTTGCTATCGTGGTGCAAACATCGCCCCCGTGGCTTTGTGGATCAGACTTTGGCTAGCCGAGAATACCCCAGGCAAATTTTGCTGCATTGGATTGCGAAACCAGACGACCGTATTACTCCCATGAACGAATCATGGACTGAGTTCTTTGTTTTCAATGTTGTCCTGTCGTACTTTGTATAAAAAAACGGCAAATATAACTTACAAGTGACCGGTCGAGAGCAAGCAAACACAGATAATCTGGCCAGATCGGCGAAGACACCTTACCAGAACGGTGGATGACGCAACAGTTTGTCCCAGTCCATCGGTTTTCCGACTGGGATAGGACGTTCCATTTCAATTGACAAATTTTTTTCCACAAGCTGTGTTTTCTCTTTCGTGATGACGCTGCTGGTGGTGGTGTTGAATACTTTGGATTCCCGCAACTAAATCGGAAGAAAAAACGACAAACAGTAGGCTGGCTAAACGAACTATTACAAATATGATGGATTTTGACTGGCCACCATGCGGAACTCAGGCCTGGTCAGACTCACCTCGGTTTCTGAGTTGTCTGAATCAGGGACAGCTAAGTACATGGATGTGGCGGACGGAATGCGAAAAGTGACAGGCGAACTCGAGTGCCAAGCAGATCGTTTCCGTCGTCTGGGTCGAACCATGAACAAATAGGTCAGCAAAGACCATGTGACGAACATCAAACCGATACTGGCAAACGGGGTGCGCCAATTCGCGGCGGTGACCAGATAGGAACCGAGTGAACCACAAAGTAAGGTACTGACAGATCGGAGAAAACGAACCGGTGAAATGGAGGAGAAAGTGGAGGAGAGGAGAACGGTGACAACCAGCGGAAATAGAGCGAAGAGGAATGATGAATGGTTAGTTTGTGAATATCAATTGAATGAATCTGTCACATGAGCAAAGAATAGATAATAAAGTCGATAATAAAGTGAAATAGACAAATCCTATGAGTAATGATGCTGATTGCTATCGTCACAGTGTTCGGTTAAACAAACTGGGTCATCCGATGCCTAATACGGCAAACAAGGGAGACATCTTAATACAGTAGGTCAGTCAAAGCTTAGAACTATCCATTTCAATATACAGTGTTGCGAACCTTTCTAACTGTTTCACGTCTTCTATTCACCCAAGTAACGAGCAACAGTGTGGTTGTGCACCTCGGAAATTCGGAGTACAAATAGCAAAGCAATCGGTAGCATTTCGATGAATTTTGTACAGACACCTGTTTTTGCTAAACACGGACAAATTTTGAGCTAGGTTCTTACTTTCCACTTAATGCAATTTCGAACGGAACAGCCGTTACCTGCATTGTTCGGTTGTTTCGTTCCCTGACCTTTGTATCAATGGTCAAGGTACTACACATTGTGCCCCCAAAGACTTTATAGCCAATTGTATTTTATCATCATCATCATCATTGTACAGTGTAATCCAGTGAAGCCGAACTTCACTGATCGCTGCCAAACTCGTACTGCATACAAGGTAAGTGAAAATGTATAAGAAGTACAGGGTTTGAGCCTATTTTTAGGGACGGGAAAAGAAAGTGAACCTCTGTGGTCAGCATACAGAGAGCTTGGTTCAACTGTGCATACTTAGTAGTTCAAGCATTCTGGTCCGATAAGAAGTGACAGTAAGATCGCCATTACTGTCAGTTCCCAGTCATGAACTTCAGTGTCTCCAACCCGGAAGACGAGAGACAACTACGCTATTTAATCTCTCTGTGCATTTCTTTACGCCTCGTCTTCACGTCATCTGCTAGCCTCCAAATGGCTCCCTCCGGCCTGCAAAAGCCACTACAGATAAAGCGCGCTGCGGTAGGCGACCGCCGGACATATGCAAAACGTGTCCTAACCAACGGAGCCTATTGAGCTAGATTCGATGCGATGGCGAGTTTTTATTTGACGCATTCGCAAACACCTGACGACTTTTTTTATTACACACCTAAGTGCAATGAACACCAGACGGAGCGAACCTCATAGTCACGAGGACCTGCTATTCAGTGGTGGAACCCGGTA